TAGCAATGCCTTTTTAAAAATCTGATTGGTAATAATATACCCACCAACTCCGCCTACACAAGTATCCAAAAACAACACTTCTCTCCTGTGCACAACATCCAAGCCAGAAAGGCTGCCTTAATTCCGTTCGGTCTTGGGTGTTGAACTAATTACTGGAAGGAAAAATAAGGGGGGAATTATCCCATTATCAAGTGCAATACGATTTGCAATGGAAGATTAGATGCTTTCGTTTGCTAAACACACAGTTACAGCCTATAAGAGTCTCAGTAAATTACAGTACAATAGAGGGTCTTGTTATGTTGCCAACACACCAACAGGACATGTTTTTCCACTGAATGTTCTCCTTCAGACCTTAACTGAAAAGCCCTTGTAAAATTCAATAAAATTACGATGCATTTTAATTTAGAGTATAGACAATTCTACTTTGTTTCCTAGTTGGGTTATTAGACCTGCTTGTTCTGTTCTAATACCTTACATTTCTTTATAAAAAAAAAAAGCAGAATGCAGTAATTTGATCAATAATTTTGGTTAGCTATGTTCCCTTTTAAAATACTTAATTATTGTTAAGATGTGAATCCATTTAAGTACATGATGAACCCTGTTGGTAAAAAGATAACATTCTTATTTCCTACATTACGCTCATCAAAGTGTTTCTGCTGGACTAAGTCCCCCAAATTTAGAAAGACACTGAAACAGTTATGATGATGTTCTATGGCTGTGTATGTGTTATATACTGAGAATACAAATCACTTATAAGTACAACAAATTTATGAAATTCATATCAGGAAAATTGTTTGTAGCTCTGGGCCCACTAGAGGTGTTAACGCTATTGATTGTGTTGTGTGTGCTATTGTGCAAGACTTTCTGCTCTGAGTTTGTTGAAAACTGGTATAAATAATAGCATAAATAAGATGCTGTTATTATTATTTTAATAAGGTGCATTTATTATACAGTATCTACTGCTTATGCCGTTACCTAAACCACTGGCACACTGACAACAGACCTTTGATAAGCAGGGTATAATGCGCCCAGTCAACCTGGTAATCTGAATCCAACAACATGCCCTTGACAGTGTGCTGCATACAGTGAGCGACATAGGATTGGCCACATTAAACTTTAAACAGACATGATCATTCTGATCTTCCTGGGCTGGGAACTGTGTTGTGATAGTCTTGCAGTGCATGGACAAATACCTGTCAGACATGGAGAAGACGTGCTGAGCAAATGGGAGAATTGGCCTCTTAAATGATGGTACCACCCTAGCTTCACCTTAAGTCATACAACATCACCACCGAAAAAGAAACACCTCTTCCTTCATTTCCAGCGTTTCCTTTGTACAGCTCTTCCCTCTTTTATTCCTACCGGTTGTGTCGTTATATGGCCTCTCAGTTCCTTATAAGTGTGAAACTTCATAATGTGAAATTAAGGTTTTAAATCATGTGGTCCTAATGCAATTTGTTTGTTGTTTTAATTCCCTAAACAAACTGCTGTGCTAATAAAAGACACTCATTTCACTGAGGCCACTGAGAATGTTGGCATGTCCCTAAAACATAACTCGGTTTATTAAAATACTGTTCTGCAGCTTCACGGTATGCTTCTACTTAACGTTTGACGCATAGTCTCATGCCACTTTGCTACATTTGCTTGAATAAGAAGCGCCTTTAGTTCAAGTTAATTTGGCGAGTGGATTAAAGGGCATCTGATACTGCAGTTGGGGAAATGCTGCCACAAATGTCAAGCTTTATTCTCTTCTTAGTTAGAAAATCCTCACATAACATTTTAAACAACAGCCTTCCATTCTGTGTCGCGGCACTTAAAAGCCAAGATGTCTGCGCTGGACCTGGAGGCCTGTGGCGTTCTCTTTAGAGGCTAGAATGTTCCAGAAGAGCTGGAGCAGGCGCCTGGACCTTCTTGACAACTGGGAGAAGGCCTTGGCCTGTCTCTGGGCTCAGGGGAGGTGGAGGGGTCGTAAAGCTTCCAGGGAGCCGACGAGCTGAGGTAATTGGTGTGGAATTCACACTGGTTGCTGGCAGTCAGAATGGAAAAATGTTTCACGTCCTATGTGAATGGCTTATTATTTGGGTTGTTTTTATTGGGATTGGGAAGAAAAGCCATTGAAAGCAAGCCGTTATCATAAAAATAACAGAGCTGTAATTAGCTAAAACTAGGCTCTGGCCTCCTTGGGGGTGAGCAACGGCGAAGCTAGGCTCTTGTTTCACATTTTGTTGAGCGTTATTGGTTTAATTCAGAGACAGCTGGGCCTGGAATCAAAGCTCCCATAGTGTGTGTTTGTTTCTTTTGCGCCTGCTTGTTTCTACATGTTGAGGATTCAATTGTTCCTGCACAGCATGTTGACCAAGACAGCTCTGACATTTCCTTCCCTCTTTGTCTTGGAACTGGAATGAGGCGGATTGAGTGTGACATCCATGAGCACAACATTCAGCATTCCTCTTTATTGAACATTTTTCTGTAAAAACTGCAAAGGAAAGTTGTGTTAGTTGTGTGACCTTACAGTTTGTTTTTCAAAAACGGAAATGGTAAAAGATGGAAGTTAATTTAACCCATTTTATTCATTTGGTTGCTAATATAATGATTTGTGATTCTCATCAAGCGATATATTGATGTATCACAGCTGTTCACACAGTAGTTGTTGCATTTTATCTCACATAAATTATGTAGATTACATTTTTAGATTAACCAAACTCCTTGCTCCTTGAGGTAATGCTGACAAAGACCTTAATTATAGAATGTAACGGGTTTCTAAAACATTATTGGTATAGTAATGAATTCCAGGTATGACACAGTAATGTTGTACGTTCCTGCTCCTGAGAATTTACCTCAATTGAATTCTGTAAACTGAGTGAAGATGAAGCCTGATCCCACATGTTACAAAAAAAGTTTGTGCTTTTCTTCCACATTTGTGAGTTTTCTGTGTCTGTTAATGGATGCCTCCTTCATCACCTGACTTCCTGGCCCAACTCTCTGTCTCAGTGACCCCCTGCTGCTGTGCTTCAGTGTTGCTGACTGCAGTGCTGCAGATTCAAGCCAATCCATACCAAGAGTTTGTCTTCCTGTTTAGCTTTTTTGTGCTTACTTGTTTAGTCAAATAGGTTCCAAATGTTTGAAGCCCATTGAGGGTAAATGATGCATGTCAGCACACTGACTGAGGGAAGTGGGATTATTCACAGGCAGCAGATAACAAGCCGCCACAGGAACTCAACAGCTAGTGCTCTTCTGTGTCTTCATCAGGGCCCTTTCTGTCCTCTTGGCAAAGCTACAAGAGGTGTGTTCTTTTGTGAATGAATGGTTTATAAGTGTAGATTATGGGTAAGCAATGTATTAGTCAGGATGCAGTAAGGATTGTAGAAGCAAAACTGCCTGAATAAACGGAGATTCAGGGGTTTTCTACATGCTACTGGTTTTGAAATAACCTTCCACAAAAATCGAGCCTTTGACTGTCACTATCTTTCTCTTGGTAGAGATGATTATGACTTAATAAACCCATACCTCAATTTCCAAACTTAATTCATTCCTTAAAAACTGTACAATGAAAATTCTTAATCCAAAAATGAAATTCCCATGTGAAACCTTCTGCTTTGCTCCTAAGGTCTTCCTAGGACATCACCCGGTATACTTTTTACCCTATACGAATCATCAAAGTAAAAACACAAATGGCCCTGGTAGAGTAGTGAAGGTAAATAAAACGAATAAAGCTTCTAAGAATACAGATGCACTGAGGAAGGTGTTGTGGGAGGTCTTGCTATGAGAATGGGGTCTTCCATACAGCTAGCTACCACAGAAGCACCTTCATTGCATTGGGAATTTCTTAGGTACTGCATCAGACAGGTATGAAAATGCATGTTATGTTATTAAACCAGGTGTTTGGAAATGAAGGGAAGACTTCCAAGTGAATGGCTTACAGTGGAGAGTTTTCAGGTTAGGATGAGTGTCCTTGTACACAATCCCATAGCAATCCCTCACTCCTTCAGCAGAGAGCTCCATTAACTGTTTTCTCTAGTAAAGCTTTGTTCTTTAGCAGTAGTAGTTAGTAGCATACAAACAAGACAGCTGTGGGTAGGCAGGGATTATAGTGCTTTTCTACAAGTCTCTGAATACTGTGTGGAGCTTTGTAAGCTTGATAGTCCGTCTGTAAGGAGTCAAGCAAGACAAGGCTTGCTGAGCTTTAATGCACACTATAGCTGCATGGAAATGTTATTGGTTTATTAGTGGCAATTTAGAAAATTAAGCTTGACACTTTTCTCTGCTAAATCATTTTATTCACTCCACATCGAAATCTACTCAAATGCTTTGTATGCAAAGGCCAATAGAGGTCACAATGGAAATTTGCATTTGGGTGTAACGATCATTAAAGAATACAAACTTTTTTTTTACCTCATAATTGCCGGAAAAAACATTTTTTAGCCAAACAGCCACACATTAAGAAACGGCAATTTCCTGAAAGCAACGCATTTCATACTGTTGCAATTTCAGCACATGTTTCAGGTTTTGTATGGCAAAAGCTTTATACTTCAAATGAACCAGTGAGGTGCTGAAGAGAGTTTGCATGATTGTGAATGCTGTGGTTCAGGGGGTTGGGCTGCTAAATGGTCATGCTACGCATCAATATGTGGTGTCCAAATATTTTTGCACAACTTACCAATAAATGGAGGTACTGTACCGATAAAGCACAATTCAATTTCTTATAAAAAAATTCTGATTTGATCTCTGTATGTATATTTTTTACTAGACAAATAGGATGCTAATTATTCATTTCAGGGATATAGGAACAGCAGGATTGACACCTGGTTTTCATAAGGTCAAAGGCTTTTAAAGTAATTACAGGAGATCTTTATAATGAGAGATACAATTACACTAAATGATTTTCTGTAATTCAGAAGTACTTGCTTTGAATAAATTAACAATCCTAGAAAGATCTGTTCCAGAGCTGTCAACACTGGTTTAAGAGCACATCTCATCCAGGCTGTTGCCCTCTCTTTCAGCTCCCCCACAGTTCCTGAAGAAGCCAGCGAACATCTATGCATACGAGTCCATGGACATAGTCTTCGAGTGTGAGGTGATGGGCACACCCCCCCCGACAGTCAAGTGGGTCAAAAATGGAGACGCCGTCATTCCCAGCGACTATTTCAAAATCATCGTAAGTCTAGTTCGCTCCCTGCCTCTTTGTAGTGCCTGTTTTTGGCTTCAAAGCAAACGTTGTGTCTCCTGCAGAGGAAACGGAACGTTTTAGAGTGACATGATGTTGAGGACTTGCGTCCGAGGCGACACTAGTCCTTCTGAGGGTCAGCTGGACTAATTGCCCTGTTTTGCCTGCCTCTGTCCTCTGCCAGACCAGTTCTTACAATATTCCAAGGAAATAATTAATCCAGTCGCAGACATATTTCTCCCTTCAAATCTTAACCCTCTACTGCTTGGCTGAAAAGCATACTGGAGCATTTTGCGGTAGAAGGAGAGGAAAGCGGTTATAGATACAATTTAGAGCTGAAGAGTTCCACTTCATTATTAGCCTGGTTATCAGTAGTGAGTCGCTGATCTATAAAAAGTACAAAACACTAAAATTGCCTATAATACAGATTTCTTTGTAGTGTTGTGTTGCTTATGAAATAGATGTGTATGGTTGTGTTTGTGTTAAACTGCACTGATATTTGAAGTCATTGCTTAATCGTGTTTATTGAGTGCTTGGTTTTGTAGCATGGGCTATGTTGCGTTTTGGTGTTCAGGAGTATGAATGTCTTCCTGCGTTTACCAACAGAAGGAGCACAACCTGCAGGTTCTGGGGCTGGTGAAGTCTGATGAAGGGTTTTACCAGTGCTTAGCTGAAAACGACGCAGGAAATGTGCAAGCCAGCGCCCAGCTCATCATCCTGGAACGTGGTGAGTAGTGGGGGAGTGTCCCAGCTGTGCTGGGCCTTTGTGTGACTTTTCACATGGGTGGTTTTTTTGAGGTCCTTTTGAGGACAACCTGCCATATGTGGATCACAGAAGGTGAAAACACATTTCAGGTTGAAAATAACCTCTTAACCTCGCCTGTAGCCTCAGACAAACACCAAGATCCACAGCTCTCCTGATCTTGCGGGCGGTCAAGAATTCCTGGGTTGGGGTACCCAATTATGTTGGAGGTCGAGGCCCCTGTTGATGGAAAGAGCTCCTCTAAGAAAGCTAGATAATCTCAACATGGCCACAGTTGCAAGCTTATCTGTGTAAATTGTGAATGAATGTGGAAATGACAAGAGGTTTAGTTTCTCTCCTCCTCTTTTACAGAAAGCAAATGTTGATACAGCTTTCTGTCTGTAGTGAAGTTGCTCTTGATAGTCTTTTACAAGATAAAACCCAGAATTTGTACGATAAGATTTGAGTAGATCAACAGAACTGGTACAGTTGTAGGAATAAGCAGCTTTCTGATGATGAGGGGAATAAAATGCATTTCTTCAGCATTTTAAATAAAAGTAATAGATTAGTTATGCCATTTGGTTTTGGACGTTTGTCAAAAATGTTGTCAGGACGTTTCCCTGGGGGAAAGTTTTGTGGTTTGTGATTTTCATTAGCAATCCAGGGCTTGTTGTGTATAGAATTATCTCAGGAGAGTCCCTGGGTGATACCAGGTTTAAAACGTGTTGGCCAAGGGTCTGAATGGACAACAGAGTATAGAGTATCGAGAAATATTAAAGGTTAACAGCAGTTGCTTTAACAAAACTTTTATTTTACCTTAACTGCTCAGATGGATAGACCATTTTAAGGACATTTCAATGTAGTGCCTTATACACCGCATGAGAGCCAAAAGGTATTATTTGTTGTTTCATGTTCTCTTTGTGGTGTGTGACATATCGAAGCCAAAATCTTACTGTCCTAACACAGGACGCCGGTATGTAGTTTTGACCACAGTTTACTCACTGAAAGCGTTTACTTACTGAAAACGTTCAGTGGTTTGTGGGACGTTTGCTTAGACAATTAGACGTTTTGCTTAGAAGTCTGTTGACCTGGGATCCCTATAGAGAGAATCTGTGGTGACATAAAATTAATCTGGTGTCTTGAGTGGCTTTTCTGGTGTAACTGAGGAATCCTGCAGTGGACACTGGGAATGTAAATGTAAAAGCTTCCAGTCTTTAATTGTGGCAGCACTTTCATTCTGCTGAGCACGTTTGTGTATCGAGAACTGATTGTCGTGCATGTGTGATAGATATCATAACGGCAGATTAGGGTTATCGCCTATTCAATTCATCACATTTCTTGAGGATAAAACCTTGAATTCGATGTTAAGATTGGATAACTGGGATGAATGTGTTTTTTCCTGTCCATAGATTGTTGTGTCTGTTTGCACTTGGTTTTATTCCCATGGAGCTTTTTCCCCTGTCTGTTTGTGTTTCATTCTTGCTTTTACCAAAGAAGGAGAAAAGGCCTGAGGACCTCAGCACAGCCCTCCACATGGTGCGAATGTGGATTTATTCAGGCAGGAAGCTATAATAAAGTCTGTTTGTTAAATAGAGACCTAGAGGATCCTCTGTTTACCTTCACTGCAGATGTCCAGTTCTGTTCTGTGTATAATACACCACACTCCTGCGTGGAGGACTGGTACATACTTGATGTGAGCTCTTCAACTGCAGCTGATGGGGAGCTGTGAAATTCTACAACATGAATACTGGGCCCTTACTGTCCTCCCTGCATTCATGCAGCCCCATTCCTTTCAGTTTCACCTCTAGAGGGCTGACTGACAGAGCTTTGTAGCCTTTCGTTATACAGGTACTGTGCTCACTCTTCAGTAAACCCCTTGTAACTTTGGAAAGTTAAGCCCTTCAGTGCTGTGCAAGTCCTGGTATTCTCTTCCAGGGTGAGTGTGGTCCAGTCCGGCCTTGTGCTTGGAGAAGCTTGGCTGATTCCTGACAAACTAATTGAATTTCATTGTGGGTGTCTTCCACTGATCGTCCGCACTGCCCTTGCCGAAAAGCCGCCTGGTGCCATCTGGAGCCTCTTCCCTCCAGTTGCTGCAACCTGTTCCTCTCTGCCATCATATGGGCAGGACCCGCAGGGGGAAGTTAGCCCCAGAACCCCCGCCGTCGTCTCCGGCTGGCTCTACCGGCGCACCACACCTCCGGGGCCCCGTCCGCCGCCGGCTTTGTAGCGCCGCGTCCTCCGCGTCGGCGTCTTTTCCTTTGTGCGTGTGCTTAAAGCTCCTCTCCCTCTGCTCTGTTGTTCCCTGTCCTGCTGGGGGCAAATTAGCATTCTTGGAGCTGAGCTGCGGATTAAAACCCAGAGTAACAATCTGTGCAGTGAGTAATGGAAAATGGCACAAAGAGCGTGGGGTGATCTGGAAGGGCTGAGAAGACATGTCCTTGCTGAGACCTTGGCCTTTTCCTCCGGGACTTGGACCTCTCCCAGCAAGTAGTACTTGAGCTGCCCTTTCTGTTGTCTTAATTTGTCACTCCTTAATAGGCCAGCATTGTTTTCTGTAATGCATTTAGTTTGGTGATGTCCTTTTTTTTTTTTTTTTTTTTTGCTCTAAAATCAATGGTATGTACCTGCAGTGTGGTCTTCGTGAAGTGCTTCTTTTCTTTTCTCTGGAGCTTGAGGTGCTAAGCCTGTACCCCTTACAGACATCCAGAAATAAAATCAGAATGTGTCTCCTTTTCTCATTCCTCTCATGTGTCTTTCACAGAATTAAAAAGTATGTTTTAACACCTTTAATGATTTTTGCAACAAAGGTTGCATCCCAAAGGAGGGAGGGGTAAGGGGGTGGAGGAAGATTGAAGATCAGTCCAGCTGTCTTGCAACTTGCTCAGGTCATTTTTAAATATGAAGGGCCTGGTTGGCACTTGTTGCCAAGCAACTGATCTCAGAGTGGCTGAACTCTGGCCCAGAAGATCACAAGGCCTTACCAAACTGGTACTGCGTTGGTGATCAACATGGTCTCTCAATGGGAACCCATCCCAGTTGAATTTTTTTTCTCTAGCAATACCAAAATCCTACCTGACGGCACAGGAAGGACACCAAGGCAACTTCAGCTACCACATTGTCCCCTGTACTTCTGTTGTGGGGCTTAATTACCACTGTTTTATTGACCCTGCAAAAGCAAAAGTAAATAGTCATACCTATAAGTCAGAAGAACTCTAGAATACATATACTGTAACCCAAGGCTTGAGCAATTCAGAGTTTTGTGACTGGGATGGTTGCAGAAAAAATAAAGCAGTCTTTGTGGACTGCTCCCAAACTATAGCACAAATGTGAGGAAACGCAGTGTTCAGCGTAGCTCCTCAGGCCGTTGTATTCCTTTAAACTACAGATGGTGCAGTGTATCCGGTTGCAAACAGCAATCCATGAAGCCTTGTTAGAAGTCGTAATTATATAACAGGGTGGCCATGCTAACCTCAGGGGTAGTGTCTCTAATTAGGCTTTTAAGAACCTGACGTTTCTTTCCTTTTTTCAAACCAAGAAAAACATGAGAGGTCCAGATTTTTTCCAAACCTGCCAAGATTACTGATTATTTAAAAAATACGCTTAAATACTTCCCGCACTCCCTTATACCAAAGCCAGCAGATGAATCCATTAGCATTGTGATGTGTGTGCGTGCAAACCTTAACTGTTTGTGAAGTCTGCTTATGCGATTTTATGTGTTTTTTATAGTGATTATATGACTATTTTATGATGATTTAAGCAGTGAATGTTGTGTCACAAAATTTCACCGAAGCCTTTCCTGATAGACCCTAACATCTGCTTTTACAACACGCTCCCGAAAGCAGTATTTGTTTGGATTATTTTCTGCCACAATTCTCCTTACAGTTAATGCTGTGTCTTTCCAACAGGAAACTTTCTTTTTAGTGCTGATGTGTGTGTGGCTAATGGAGAGCTTGGGGTCAAGCTCAACAGCTCCATTTAGGGTATTTAAAATCTGGATCTTATCTTCCCAGAGTTGTTGGTTGTACTTGGAGGAGGCTGTTTTCTTTCCAGACTTCTGTGCACTTCCCGTCTCTTTGGCAATCATTTCCGTTTTCCAGAAGGTACTGATGTTGGGGGGCTTCATGATGTCCGTATAGTGTCATACCGTCTGCAAAAGATAATCCTTGCAAGAATAAGAAAATGGGAGCTGTGATTTAGAATGGAATACAAAATGTTAAATTATCAATATTGAAGGAAATATAATCAAATGCAAATGTATTTTTTTTTAGATGTTCACTGTAGTAAACCTGCTTTTAGGCATTTCAGTTTCTTCTTTTCATTTTCCTGGGCAGAGAGATTGTAGAATGTTCTTGTGCAATTTAAGCCATTGAGGTGTTTGCAGTTTTAAACTAATCTGACAGATTCTGACACTGGTAAAAGACGGTACCATTATTCCTAGCCGTTCTTCATTTGGCAGGTTGTGATTACATGAAACAGAACTGACAGATTGCAGCAGGTAATTATGTTTCTGTGAAAAAAGCCTTTTTTTTAATCTTGGAAGCACACAAAAAAAATCATCAGGCTCTCAGCTCACTGCTATGATTGCCATTTTTGTATGAACTGGAACAACAAAGAAAAAAAGTAGGAAAGCATAAATAAAAATGACTTAGGAGAGAGTATTTCTATAAATGTGCTCCATCACACGTAATGAGAAAAATAGTATCCCAGTTACCTCCTTATTAATAGCTTGTGGAAAATCTTTTAGATTGACTGTATTAACTGTCATTTTGTCCTGGGGCAAGAGTAACATGTGCGAGTAATTTAAAGAGCAGTATTTCTAACTGAGGTTCATTAAGAAACCCTGCCTTTTCAACCTGCTGTTAATGTGTCTTAATTACTGTTTTTTTAACAAAAAGGCTTGCTGAATGATGGAGATCAAGGGCAGATGATGGTCTTTCAACTTTGCTGCAGTGCCACATACTTCACTGTGCTTGGGAAACGCCATT